ATGTATTTACCAATACGATAAATATGCATATACAATGCTCAATTTTGAATTGTTAATTAATCTTGTTGCTATACTGTCTTACTGCTGGTCGTAATAAACTTTTTAAAAACGCAAGTTTGAAAAAAGTTATTTAATTCCCTGGCCCGCAGCGTACCGTTTCTTTTTATTGAAAGAGTAATCCAGGCAATGACCATATAATAATCCGAATAACAATAGAAATAGTCCTCTTGAAAATAACCAGTCTAAGTAATAAATCATCCCAAGTGCTAACTAAGCTTTAATCCCTAGTGAAGTCACCTCCAAACAGAGATAGTCAAACTTTAACTACGTATGATCATCATAAATAAACGAAAAGCACTACAACAAAAATAAAAAAATCTTATTTCCGATCTTATTTTATAAAATTGAAATAATATTTACTATTGTAAATATTGGAGATGACGTCATTCCATTGTTGGCGGAGACGAGTAGACAATTTTTGGTTAACGTTTTACTATTTACACGGCATTCCTAACATACTTACAACATTTGACAACAATCGATCCGGTAGTTTCAGAGGTTACCTATACAACATATAGTGATACAGACAGACAACAGACGACAGAAAAAGTTTGGAGTTGCGTATCATATTATGTATTCATTGAAAATATATGACATGGCAGAAAATGTGAGGCATTAACCAACGGGTGTCAAATTAAAAGTCTGATCAAGAAGGTTGGTTATTTTTCGGATATTATTTTCAACCAAATTCATGAAGAATCTGATAATAAAAATAAGCGAAACTAGTAGACTTAAACCATTTTTTTAACCCAATTCATAAATAGTAAAACGGACGAGAAAAGCCAAGTAATGAAATTAATGATGAAAGGAGATACGTAATACTTATTGAATCAGTTTGAGACCACTTTGGTAGTTGCAACACAATCATATTATTAAGTATTATAGCACAATTTTCGACATGAGAAACATTCCGGAAATGACACGACTTGACTCGCCCATTTCAATTGTAGTATTTTCCAAAGCAGTGTTTTTGCTAATTTGAGTAAATGTACACGGCTTTTTTGAAACAGATGCTTCTGTAAGTATTTCAGCGACTTCAGTTTTTCTTGTCAAACAATCTTGAACATACCCTTCAGCCACAGTGGCACTTTTCCAGTCACCGTGCCTCTTGAGGGTTAACAAATCACCACCTTGATCGGCTAATAGACTAGCGGAGCTTCGTCGGAAATAATGTCCCGCGAAATCTCCAGGATTTTCTAAATTAAGGAAGCGTGCTATTTTCGATGGTACACTTCTGATGGTATTGATACCAACAGGTGAATTTATGCAGCGCCCATGTTTATATTTTATAAAAAAACGATTTTTGATTTTTGAAGCTTTAACTCGAATCTCCAAATATTTCTGGACAAGAGCTACCCACTGACCATTACAGATAACAAATTTTCTACATACGTTGGTTTTTGCATCAGGTATTAATATAAGGTATTATATCTTTAACCTCTACATCTTCAATTTTTAACTTGTAGAGCTCTTCTCTGCGTAAAGCGCCTGACACTGCAATGATTAAAGCAAACTGAAATAGTAATTTCTTGAGAATATGAAATTGTAAATAACATAATTGAAGTAATGAAATAAGTTCAACTAGTTGCTTACTTTTAACATTAAATATTCGTTATTCGGAGCCGCGTCGACGAATGCTCTAATAAGGTTTTTCTGATGTATCATGATCAAAATACACGACTTTATCATAGAATAAATGGCCCATAATGATTTTCTGTTTGGCGAAACTAGCTCTGTAAAGTACGCCAGAAGAAGTTTTTGCTCCCTTTTCATCACACCATTTCAAAAAAGTGTTGTACTGCCCTTCATATCGCGCCTTTGATTTTTCGGGCAATAATACAATTACAGTTACAGATTTTTACGCCACTTCTCGTAACTGAGGCGGTGTGTATGAACGGCTTTCTGACTGAATTTTAATATTTACATTTGTAACAGCCAAAAATACCACTAAGTCAAAGAACCTGAAAAGGCCACCTAAACAATAATTATATCATCCACATACCCTATATTTTATGGAAATCTATTTTATATACAACAACTAAGGGCTTTGATTCAAGGTCCCTTTATAGTGATTAGGTTAGAGTATATCATGACCTTGAAGAGACATGTTGATGATGTAGAAAGTACCTGTTGCGCGGTTATTTTTTAATCTAGGTACTTTTTCCCATTACATTGCAAGAGCGATTTTGCCGAAACTGGCGTTGTGGTTACAAAACCTTTGTAACCAGGACGTAATGACAGTCAGGGTAGTTCACAACAAGATCCTAAAAACCCTAGCCAGGTACTTTCTACGTCACAACCGAGTGGTGGCTCCCCTTCCCCCTGTAACAGGTCTGTCTACAAACTCGCTGTATGCACTAACCTAGTCACTATTAAGTAACCTTGGCTTTGATATAATTATTGTTTTCCACCTGTCCAATTCACAAAATAGGTTAGGATTTTTCTAGAATGTAAACAACTCGATTTATGAATGAAATCGAATCCCTCCTTCTACTGTCCACCTGCTCTTCTATTGGCCAACGCCATCTGCGTCAAAATGTCGTTTCCGGTTTTTTCTTCCTTGGTTTTCAATAAAATCAGTAGCGGAAACGGAGCGAGACTATTTTCCATCCTTCTGTTGAAGAGTGATCAACCACGTCGAATCTTCCAAATTCTTCTCCAAGTGATTTCCGGGTGTAGGTGCAGAATTTAGATATATAATTGGATATCCTGTACATTCAAGCAACGTTTGATGCCCTCCCCTTCGATTCTATCGGATTATAACGCTGGGAGCAACTCAACCTTGGTCGGCTATTGAAAATTGGAAATTCGTAATTATTAAAAGAGCCTTGGATCATCCAAAGGCTCTTTTTATTCCCCCACTGGGATATAGCTCTTTTTCCATACATCTCGTGGATTTTTCCTGGAACTCGTGTTGAAAGGAAATTGGCCGGATTGATACCAACTTCTCCATCTGCTCGTCGGTCCCACCACAACGACTAGAAGGTCTCCCAGGTCTCGAGGCAAATCCAGCTTGAAGTCCCAGCTTGCGTAGCAGCTAAGTCATTATTATAAGACTTTTTTCGCGTATGTGAAGTGGCGCACTACGGTTAACTTCCATTGATTTAAAGTAATTTAATAGTAAATCGAAAGTGTCATTGAAAGTATAGTTATCTAATAATTTATTCATCTTATGGCCGGTTTCTGGAACGATATTTAACCGACCAGTTAGTTTAACTCTCCGATAAATTAGTAAATGGGTTGCTAGAAACAAATTGTCAGTTTAACTGAGCCAAAATGCACAGTTAAACTAATGCGGCATGGAGGTCCGTTAAATTTTATCTGACGCATGCGCAGTCACTAATTGTCAAATTGTTGAATGCAAATGGTCGCTGTTTCGTGTTTTGTTTTGATTTTTGATTTCGATTTTGGAGTGTTGGTGTTGTTCTGCAAGGATTACTTCAGCAATTTCAACAAATTAACTACAATTTAGTGAAAACAAAATCAGTTCTTTTCAGAACTTCGCGTCTCCGGGGTCAGAGAGAATGGAACTTGCTCGGGTATTCGAGAGTTCAAGTTCTTCCTCTGATGAGGAATTGGGTGACCTTTTAGTGGTTGTGGATAGGGTGAAAGTATTCAGAGATAGACGTAACCCTTTCGAAATATATAGTGAAGCTGAGTTTCGTGATCGATACCGTTTTTATAAAGACACTGTGAGACACATTATTACTTTGATTGAAGACAACATTGCCCCCATGACCTTAAGAAATTGTTCGCTTTCTCCTGCAGATCAGCTACTTATCGCTTTGAGGTTCTACGCAACAGGTAACTATCATAGAATTACAGTATAATCTCACTAATCCGGCACTTCGATAGATCGGCACGTCCAATAATCCGGCACCCTCTTCCCACGCCTCCCTCGCCCCTCTACACCTCCATTAATACATTACATACATTTATTCCCTCTATGAAATGCTTTATTTTATTCATTACCTATGATTTTTTTACTATAATCCAGTAGTCCGAGCATTCCAATAATCCGGCATCCTCCGGTTTTTAATAGTGCCGGATTAGTGAGATTATACTATAATAACAAAATGTTAATCGTATCCTATAATGTAGGAGCATTCCAAATTCTCGTTGGTGATGACTATGGTGCCCACAAAAGTACAGTATGTCGTGTGGTACAACGAGTATCTGAACATCTAGCAGGGATGTGCCCACATTTTGTGAAAATGCCGGAAAACCAGCAAGAAAAACTACTAGTGAAGACAGGTTTTCATGCGATACGAGGCTTTCCAAATGTTATTGGTTGTGTGGATGGTAGCCATGTTCCCATAACATCACCTGGTGGAGAAAATGCTGAGCTATTCAGGAATCGGAAAACTTATTTCTCCATCAACGTGCAAGCTGTTTGCGATTCAAAGTTAAACATACGTGATATTGTTGCACGTTGGCCAGGATCTACACATGACAGCACAATATGGAACGCTTCACTCTTAAGTGCAAGATGTGAAAATAGAGAATTTCAAGGGTCGTACATACTTGGAGATAGTGCCTATGGTTGTACACCTTATTTAATGACCCCTCTTCTAAATCCAACAACTCCAGCAGAACGTAATTATAATGCAGCCCACAAAGGAACTAGAAATTGTATCGAGCGTTGTTTCGGGAATTGGAAACGAAGGTTTGCATGTCTATCTCTGGGACTACGAACAAAATTGGAGAACACCTTGACAATCCTAGTAGCAACTGCAGTGCTGCATAATATTGCCATTAGCCAAAATGATCAAGCTGACGATTTTGAAGCAATCCAGCAATATGAAGATGTGGAAAATGACATTAACAATGACAATTTTCCAGGTGGCAATGCTGCAAGGAGAGCACTAATAGACACAGTTTTCAGGTAAATTCATTAACTAACAAAACTTTATATTTACAAAAAATTAATACAAAAACACCTATACATCTTCCTCTGCTGCTTGCAACCTATTAAGTTTCATTTGCCGCATTTTTCGCTCAAAACGAATTTCCTCCACTCTATGTTGAAAATTTAGTTCAAACAGTTTTCGATCGTTGTCCAATTGTTGTTGTACAACGGCCAGTTGTTTTAATTTTAACTCCTTTTCGATGTTTAAAATGTCAATCTTTAACTTTTGCACTTCGGCGTCTTGCATATCTTTGTAATTTTTGCGCCTTACAAATCTGTTAGAAATGGTTTCAGCGCAGGTGCTTCTTTTTTTAGGCACTTGCACTGATTGCATCTGGAATTTGCGTTTTTGGGCTGCTCTTCCTTTGACTGGCTGCTGAGGAGGGGGAGAAGGAGTTGCAGAAGCTACGGATTCAGTAGGTGAAGTTCTCGTTACCTCAACCCGTCCTGGTGTGTTAGGTGTGTCTGCACAGAATAAATTATTACAATGCTTTAGTTTTTGAGGTTTGTACATGTATTAAGTACCATCTGATAGTGCATCCGCAGATTCAAGTGAACAGTCTTCGATGTTGTATTTTTCTAGAAACATAATTACATTGTATATTACTTATAATTATATGTTATATTATACCTGTCATATTGAATCCAGAACAACTTGGTTTTGGTTGCCCTTCGATATAGCTGGCACTAGAATCAAATTTGTTCTGGAGCGGTTGAAATTGGTCCTTTAAAACTGTTACTATTTTCGCATCCAGGGCAGTACTCTTAGGTACAAATGTGCCCCCGCCTGTTTTGTATGAACTTTTCTAAAAATAAAGCATATTTTACATTTTATAAGTATATCCATTTTCTTCTCTCATTGCAGGGATTTGAAAACTGCATATACACTTACCTTGTCGGAATATAAATTGCTGCGCGCCGTTTTCTTCATATTATCATACAAGGCATGCAACTGTTTGGCAGTGCGATGCCCCGTTTCACACTGTGCATTGTAACTTTGGGCAATTTCCTGCCATGCCAAATTTTTTTTGGCCACGGTTATAGCATCTGACTCCTTGTTTTCTATGACACTTTTAAAATCGGCCGTAACTAGTTCAAAAAGCATATTTTTCTCTCTTTCGGTGAAATTTTTACCTCTAACGCGTTTATCACCCATTTTGATATTTGAATATGTCAAAAATTACCGACATTTATAGTAGCGCCATCTATGCGATTTTAAAAAAATCCTTAGTTCAGGATACAACCGCCAGTTAGTTATCCGACCTACAAACTAACTGGAGAATGTTTTCAGAAACCGAACTGAATTTTAACTGTCCGATAAATTTAACGGACAGTTAGTTAACAGACCAGTTAAATATGGTTCGAGAAACCGGCCATTAATAGTTCAAACTCTTTAAATATTACTTATTTACATTTCATGTATTAGCTTCTTCGTTCTAATTCCGTCAATAATTATTTTGTTAATTACGTCGTAATTGTAAAATAATAATTGAGTTCAGACAATCTTTCAAAATAACCTAAAAACTGTATAATGTTATAAGAAGGTGTTGACCAACATGCCGGTTGCTTATGGTGGATCAAACCAAAGGTGGATAGCGTAAATTCCTGGTCTTCGCATGCGAATACGGAATATTTTCCCGAGAGTTTGAAAAATTCCACAAGATAAATAATACCCTAACCTCAAACATTGGAGAACTCACAATTCGCTTAATTCATTCAGAAATAGGGTAGACAATTCGTTCCATTCATTCATAGATAGGGTAGATTACCATTTGAAACTTGCGGACTTGGGATCATACGCGTTGGTCTTTGTCCAGGGGCATAAGTTTGGAAATTGAGGAAATCATTATTATTTCTCAACAATTTAATTTTCTTTAGGGTTAATTAAAGTATACCAGTTTAGTGCATTATTATTGTACATAATAAATTCTCGAATTTGACTGGCCTAATTAAAGATATTAATCAGAGAAAAGTTTATTAATGGATGTAACCCCTCCCACTTAGGAGTCTCGTCTCATTTATTGCTAACAACAAGGGATAATTGCTAGCCAACCCTAGGGAGTACACCAACCCTTCCTAAGAAAAAGAAATAAGGCAATACATCATTTTAGAACAGCGAAATGTCAGCAAAATATTTTGACGTTCTTCTTTCGTTGCAAATGTTTTAACGCAACGCCTACTGCAAAATTGTTAAAAGCAGTGTACTCGATACCGAGTCACACTTTCGTATACGCTTCGAATTTGTAACATTGGTATAAGTATAAAACATTGGTCTAAAGAGTTTAGACAGTTCTTCCCTCGCTGTCGGAGACTTGACGACTGCATGCCTATTGTGTTTTTTTTCTCATTACATTTTTGTAGTGGGAATTTAAAAAAAAATTGCGATGACGTTTTTGCAAAGACACGTATAATCAGTTAGGATAGATGTAGTGTAATACTAAGAATAAGATTATTGTATTCCTCAATTTTCGGGAAAATGAATTGGGTCGTTTTGATTATTGATTTGTAATAATCAATAAAATAACGAAACAATTTACTCACGTATACGGCGCCGGCGTGTACTAGGAGAGGCAACTGAAAATCGTTTATGTATAAGCATTCTTAATTTAAGACGACAAGCGTAACATAGCATACGTAAGAGTCAAACAGAGAAACTGTAAACAAAACCGATGGTCGTCTAGAGATTTTTATTGCTTCGACTTCCGCTTATTATATAGTACATTGGGTTTTATTTTAACTTTTGACGGTGGAATTCACAATTGGTTGATTATAAACATATCTATACTACATTCGCGGAACCTAGTCAGCGCACAAAACAAATGCACGTCTGTAATGTTAAAGTAAATATAAATAAGCGTGCTACCCTTATGTTTCAATCGAGTTTTTACTCTACAAAATTTTGTGTCTACCAAATTGGGTTGGTCCAATGTAATACTAATAATAAGTGTTGCCTTTAATTTAATCAATACAATAAATTGACTTCATTAATTTTTTTGAGCCACCTCTTAAGCAAATCTAAAAAATATGAATGGAATGATAAATCACAAGTACAAACTCATCATATTTTTTGCATTTTAGATAGCATTTATTCAGCAAAATTTAGGGGTGACGTCATCAATTTTTTAGGGGGATGAACAAATACATTTTGATAAAAAATTTACCATGCTTATAATAACTTTAAAACATCTCCAAGATTTCAAAGCATTCGGTTCTGTAATTCCTGATTAAACCAATAAAATAAATTCATGCATTCATTAATTTTTTTGAGTCATCTTTATATGCAAATCCAAAAAATATGAATGGAATGATAAATCACAAGTACAGACTCATCATATTTTCTACATTTTAGAAAGGATTTATTCACCAAATTTTAGGGTGACGTCATCAATTTTTTTAGGGGGGATGAGCAAATAAATTTTGATAAAAAATTTACCATGCTTATGATAATTTTAAAACACCTCCAAGATTTCACAGCATTCGGTTCTGTAATTCCTGATTAAATCAATAAAATAAATTGACGCATTCATTAATTTTTTTCAGTCACCCTGTATATGCAAATCGAAAAAATTTGAATGGAATGATAAATCACAAGAAGAGACTCACCATATTTTGTACATTTTAGATAGGATTTATTCGGCAGACTTTTGAGCTGACGTGATCAAGTTTTTGGAGGGGATAACCAAATATATTTTGACTAAAGATTTATGATGATCTTTAGAGCCTTAAAACATCTGCAACATTTCAAAACATTCGGGTTAGCAGATTCAAAATTAAATTGGAAAATGTTGTTTTATAATTTTGTTTTTTTTTCCAAAAATCTGGACGTTTCGGGTAAAAACTCAATTGGGAGTCGTAAACGACATGTGTAGGACTATGTTATTTTATACAATTTAAGACCCATTTACTATGTACAATTTTGAAGTGACGTCATCGCATTAGTGGTGGGGATGATTAGACAAATTTTGGTTAACGTTTGTTGTTTTCTGCTTGTTTTATGCAGTGACAACTAATAAATTATTATATATATATATGACACTCCGAGGCCACCATAAATTTAACCTCACTTTTCACCTTTTAAAACCTCTCTCTCGGAACGGTTCAAAATATAACGCAATAATTTCAACCGGTTGGTGTGATGACGTCACTGTTTCATCGCGAAAATTACAAGTTTTAAAAACTAACTCAACAACGCATTTAAAACGTTGCATCGCGAAACAAACGCCTTTGATATACTATTTTTTCAATTATTAAAACATAAGGTATATAATAATAATATTAATAATAATAATAATACTTTATTACGGAATTTCTCCAATTTACACAAAATATATAACTACAATATGTAAGCTCTAGTAAGAAAAAATAAATAAAATATAAATATAAATATAAAAATAAAATTAAAAAAAAAAACCATTATAAATATAAATTGTCTTTACACTCAATTCAAATTAAATTTAAACTCAAATATGAAATAACTAATAAATTACATTATATTATTCATTAATTTTTTAAACGCTCCAAGTTTTGTATCAAAGATGTGAAATTTCTCCTCTCCAGCTAGATTATTGGCAGATTCCTTCATTCTCCGAAGTGGATGATTAACTGCGTTATTGGTAGAAACAATAGCGGTTCTAAAGATGGTACAAGTTCTAGTTGATCTACTATTTGAAGTCGGGACTCTGAATTTCAACTGAGATAACAGATTGCTACTATCTATTCTACCGTTTAGTATAGCATGTAGAGTGCATAAATCACCCATGTTCCTTCGCGCCAATAAGGATTTTATATTAAGAAGATTCATTGCCCATTCATATTGACCATGATGATGTATGTGGTGTTCCTTAAATTCAATGATTCTAAGAAATTTTTTTTGAACGCGTTCTAAAAGACTGATGTCGTTTTTATATATTGGATACCATATTGGAGAACAATATTCTAAAATAGAGCGTACCATTGAACAATATAACGTCTTTAATGCGGACAAATTCATATCCATGCAATGTCGTTGTATAAAACCCCACATACGTAAAGATTTATTAGATATATAATGATAGTGTTTTTTAAATGAAAGTGATGAATCAAAGATTACACCCAAATCCTTAATTTCAGTAACAGACTTGAGAGTAGTATTACCAATAAGATAATCATACTTAATCGAAGAATTCTTATTAGAAAAAGTAATTTGATAACATTTATCTAAATTTAAATTTAATGAATTTAAGTCACACCAGTTGAGTAAATTATTCAAGTCAGCCTGCAATTCATGGCAATCAATAGGAGTTATGATTTCTTTGAAAACCTTTAGATCGTCCGCAAAAAGTAAAAATTTTGAATATTTGAAACAATAACTTAAGTCGTTTATGAACAAAAGAAATAAAATTGGACCACAATGCGATCCTTGAGGAACCCCAGAAGTAACTTTAAAAGGATCGGAGAGATAACTGCCAATTTTTACCTGTTGCCACTTACCTGTTGAAAACGAAGTCAACCAATCAATCGTATTTTGTCTAAAACCCATACTAGTCAATTTTAATATCAAAACGTTGTGATCTGCACGATCGAACGCTTTCGCAAAATCAGTATAGATCGTGTCAACCTGGTTTCTATTTGCAAAGGCATCATTGAGATAGGAATAGTACTCCAGTAAATTGGATAATGTTGACTTATTCTTACAGAAACCGTGTTGATGAACTGTAAGTATCCTTGAAGCCATCCATTGCAGTTGTTTAGCGACTATGGAATCTAAAATTTTTGACAACTGACTGGTTGCAAACACCTCTGTAATTTTCTACTTTACTGTGATGTCCCGCTTTAAAAATAGGCTTAATATAACTCAGCTTCCAAATTTCAGGAAATTTACCACTCTTCAATGACATGCTGAATATTTTGTATAATGGTCTCGATAGGGTGCATACACATTTTTTTACTAATACATTGCTAATGTTGTCAGGTCCTGCAACTGATGAATCGTCTAGAGAAGTAATAGCATCAAATATGTCTTTAATAGTAACTGTAAGGCCATTGTCCGAAACGTCATCATTTAACTGAATATTCCGATGTACATTAGAAGCATCACTCTTGTTGTAAACCGATGAAAAAAATTGTGCAAACAATTTACAAATTTCTTTACCACTATGTACCGTTTCATTTAAGTAA